CTATTCCTAAAACATTTTCTATTTCTCAAGGGGTTTGGATGTCCTCTGCCTTGCTTAGTTCTCAAGCAATCTTATGGGAAAGTAAGGTCAGAAGCGATTATTCCCATTTTACAGATAAGAAAACAATTTGAAGAGGTAGAGAGACTGTTTGAAAGTCTTGCAGCAATATTATTTGTGAAGTCCAGTTTATTCCCTTCTCTGTTTTAGAGAGAGAAATCCATGCTGTTTTTAAAGTTGCTAACCCTACGAATCTGTAAACCAAAAACAAAATTCTAAGCCCTCTAACTGATGGAATGGACCCCTCTTCTCGGCCAAAGGGATTTCAAAGAAACTGAAAAAAAAACACACACACAAAAAAAAACCTAGTTAAGGCTATGATGAAAAGCAGAAGTCGGACATGCCTCATTTCACCCTCCGCCCTTTGGAATTCAGAAACAGCTGACCAGCATTAATATTAAAACAGATCTTAAGACCAAGAAGACAAAATAGACTCTTTGTAGCTATTTAGAAAAATGTCTAATTCAACCTGACTCTAGTATAGCATCACATGACAGATAGCACATCCTGAAATTCAAAGTATTTTATCCCAAAATATGTTTATTTGAATATTTTAAAATGGCTCTGCAAAGCTGTGTCTTGTGGGGGAAAATCCACCTTCTACAGAGAATCCCCTTACTTTTCCAGGTCTTTTCCTGATTCAGGAAAGATTAACCAAGAGTCTGATACCTTTTTTTTTTTTTTTGAAAAGCTAGTAGTTTATACAGATAGATATATAGATATTGATAGATATTGTGTTTACATAGTCCACAAGTTAAATGCAGGTATCCATAAGAAGAGCATTAACAATAAAAATACAATCTGTGTGTAGCCAAGTACAGAGACTTAAAATGGTAAAACAGCAAAAAGGATCTCACAAAAGTACAAATATACAGTACAAATTGATTTATTTAAAACAGTTACAAAAAAGCACAACAAAATAGAGATTATCCTTAGAATTATTAATGCTTTGTTAAAGATCAGGTAGGATTAGAGGGTAAGAAATGGTATTGGGTGGAGGGAGCACCTGACTAGTTCTAAGGCTTTAGATACAATGCAGTTGATTGCATATTAATTCGGCTATTACATACTGGGGATAGTAGATGGGGGATCAGTAATTTATCTACAGGGAACTCCTACCAGATCCATCCAGACCTCCCCAGTGCCATCCTCCTCCACTCCTTAGGACCCTAAAGCCACCCGGATGACAACATTCTCATCCTTCTTTCTCCACCCCATTCCCTATCCATATATTCTTCCCTCACCTAAGGTGCTGTGCAAGCTGAGAGCGGTCTGCTCTCTGCAGCTGGATCATATACTGTTTTGGCTACAGGGATCCTGTGTGACTAAGAAGGTTGTAGGGGACAGCCTTATTTTGATACTTCAAGTTAGCCATGTGTACGGTCAGTCCCTTCCCCAACACAATCTAGATTCTCTTGAATGCAAGTTGCAAGTATCAAGCAAGTGAGGGATCAACCCTGCCTTCGGCAATACCAGCAATGCACTAACCACTCACAGCTCACAACTACGTGCAAACTCCCTGTCCGGGGGTGGGTGTAAAACCACTGTGTCATCAGCTCTCTCTCTCTCTCTCTCTCTCTCTCTGAAAAACCTCAGTCCCCATGACAGTCATAAAGACAAATAAATGCTTGCAAGTTTGACAATAGGTAAAGGCACATGGGCTGCTGCCACACACACTGCAGGCAGGAACCCAATTTGAGGCCATCTTCACTGCTGGGCATTTGCAGTGGAATGGCTTTGGGATCACAAAGACTTTGAGTTTGCAATCTACCGGGGAGGGATCTAGGTTTAACAGGAGAACTAATAAAGAAACCTTTAGTGTGAAAAGTGCATTTATGACTATTGTTCCTGCTGGGGAGGCAGCAGGCCAAACCGGGACACCCCTCCTCCTTCCGCCCCAGCACTGTGCATAGTCTGCAGCTAAGGAGAGAGTGCAGTCGACTCCAGCATCTCTGGGGCCAGTGTCATCCTAGGCCCAGACCAGGCTTCTGGGCCAAAGATGGATCCTAGAGTTGAAAGAGCAACTGACAGCTGCAAAGACCCAGATGCTTATTTTATTATTGCATAATGTGGGAGACCTTCCCTACCCCAGGGAAGCTGGAGGGTGAAGGCTTCCCAGGAAAGGGCAAACAGGTTCCTGATCAACATCCAACCTAATAAGGTTCAGCTTTTCAACTGTAGTGCACACTTTTTCCCAACTGGAAGGTACTGTAGCTTCACTGTCGTTTAGTAAACTCAGCCTAGGAGACCAAGATGTCTCCCTAAAACTTAGTCTCTGTCCTATTTACTTTTTTTTTAATAAGACTGTGACCTAACCTCCCATGGCCAATTCAATCAATCAGACTATCTTTACTCCAATGGACCCAGGCCTTTTCCCAGTTAATCCATGTCCACCCTTCATCTCCAGAGGGATCACTCAACTCCAGTATGCCTGCTTGCTGCAGGTTCAAATCACACCACCATCCTGTACTTCCCTCTAAATCGCCCATGATGCCCACAGGTAAAAAGAAAACTAAACCCCACTTGAGGGGCAATTTCAGCCAAACTTTAAACCCTCTCCAAACTCCAGAATCCACCTAACTGGAGCTGGAGGATCTACAATGGGATGCTGGCATGGGCCCTAATGTGGTTCCCTTCATTTCGTTTTTAAAACAGGATACAAGATACCACAGAGGAAAGAAGTTAATACAACAGAAGACACCCACTAGCAGAAACCTGCTTGTTTCTCCCTCAAGATAGTCAGACATTTGGAGCCAAAGGGCTCCCAACAGCACTGAAGCCATATCCCTTTGGATTCACCAGCCCACCAGCAGCATTTCATACCATCCCTATTCAACATGACTTTGCAATAAAATAAGATGGCAGAATACAGGTAAGAATGAAACAGACACCTGGACTTAATCTACATGGCCAAAGACATGGAAGGACAGGAGCTGTAGAGGGCAGCAGACAGGACAGTGAGCAGACAGCAGCAGTGGCAAAGCAGCACAGAGCAAAGCCCTTGGTGTTATGACCAACTGGGACCAAGAATGCAGAAGGATCAGCCCAGATCCGCTGGGGCCCCTCCCCTCAGGTACAAGCACTCAGCTCTGAACTCCCAGAGCCCCTTCCCACCATGCCACCTCTCTTCCCAATATACACTAATCTTGATAGGAATGATTCAAGACTTGGCTTATTATCCATCCATTACTGGGTTCCCCTATTCCCGTACAGTGCCAGACAGTCAGCAGTTCTCCTTTCTATCAATAAGCTCTGGGAACATCCTACTGCTCACAAGGGACAGGCTCTGGCCCTTGTCAACTGCTCATTCCTAAAAAGTTGACAACTTCCCACTAAAATGCTCACGCTCTAGGCCAGGTGTGGTGGCTCACACCTGTAATCCAAACACTTTGGCGGCCAAGGCGGGCGGATCACCTGAGGTCGGGAGTTCAAGACCAGCCTGACCAACATGGTGAAAGCCCGTCTTAAAAAAAAAAATGCTCATTCTCTAAAAACTGCTCTCACATCTCCTGCAAACTCAGGAAATTCCTATAAGGAAGAATGGACACACCACAGGTTAGTCTTACTTTTCATGCCTGGAGGAAAAGACTAAACTGCAAGGGGAAGGTCATAGCTCTGACTGAGGTTTAGGGCACAGACCTTCTTTTCCTGGGGACCATATTTTATGAAATATATCTTTGCAGCTCAGCAAGATCAAGTATTAATATGTTACATATGCATGGCACGATATTGTGGTATTACAGGAGCTGCTGGTATTGCTTCACCAGCAAGAGACAGAAGAGGAGCAACAACAGAAAGGTCAGGGCCCAACTTGCCAGGGTCCTCAAGAATTTCTCTTTCCAGAATTCAGTGGAAGTTACCAGTTTGTAAAGTCACAACTAGCCCAAGTGGAGGGTGACTTGATTTAAACTAATTAGTCTATAACTAGTTAGACATAGGTTTGCCCCATAAAGAGAAAGCTCAGCTTGTATCCTTGCGGTCATTTCTTGAGCATCTACTGTGTACATGTTACTAAATTCAGTTGATGAGCCTTCCTATGAGGAAGGATGTTTGTGAGAAACCTGTGCAAACAATGAACTCTAGGAATAAGTTGCTCATGAAACAGCCAGAGATGAGGCCTTCTCCAAAGGCTCTCATTTGAAGGGATTCCACAAGACTCAACCCCACAGGCCCCCACTGTAGGAGACAAGTCAGAGAAAGCAGCATTCAGAGAATGGGGGACAGAGAAGAGGAAAGATATGATCCCAAATGCAATACAAAGTTGGTGTCTGGTTCTGACATAAACCAGATATTGAAGCACTCGCAGTCAGGTCAGCAGTTTCCTTTGATGGACCCCTAAAAGCTGACTGACCAGGCAGCTGCTTTCAAGGAATCAGTGGAGTGTAGGGCTTGTCGCAAACAAGCCAGTTTCAGTCACTCTGTTCCCCCAGGAGAACAACCTTTAGCACCTGAACACTAAGAATGACTCCATTCTCAGAACTTCCCCTCCCCCCAGGAGGTAGGTAAGATTATTTATCCCCATTTGGCAGGTGGGGAGGAAGTGAAAGAGCCCGAGGTCACGAGACTTGCCGAAAGTCCTTGACAAAGCAGAGATCAGACCTCAGAGGTTTGGACTCCTGATGCCAGGCCAGGTCTCAGCCAATCCAAGTATACCTTATAAAGGAAATGCCAGGATCATAGCCTGGGAGAAGTCTAACCAGAGAGCTGGGTGGACAATACCCTGAGTTGCCTTCAAGAGTCTAAAGACCCCCAAAAAACAAACAAAAAACTCACCCACCTGAAAGCTAGTGGGGGAGCCTAATTCCCAATACCCAATGGAACCCCACGGTCTGAGCTGATGCTAAAAGTTGTGAAGAAGATGTGGGATTAAGACATTGGCGGGGAGCAGGAGGGGGTGCAAATGTAACTAAGATTGAAAATACTTTTTGCAGAGGAATATACCGCCACAAAATGACATCTACCTCAGGTATTGAAATGTTATCAAGACTATCCTAGAATCTTAGAGCTAGTGGTGGAAGGGGATAGCTTGGAGATGCCAGAATGCTGGGAGAAGCAGTGGAATAAGACAGGAGGGGACATATGGGACATGTGAAAATGCCATGATGGGCACTGCCCAGCCACGAATTCGCCCTGGCCCAGGGCACAGTTCCCTTCCTGTTTCTCCACCTAGCTGTTTGGCAGTGGAAGTGGAGGGGACATGATTTTGAGATTTTAAAAATAAGAGATTATAGCTGATGGGGAAACCCAAAAGACCCCTTACCCACCAAAAACTAGAGGTCTTGGTCAGAGTGGACAAAACCAACTTTGCAGACAAGGAAAGGCAGTGCAGCTACAAACGAGGCCCAGGTCACGACACCATGCAGAGGTCAGGGTAGCAGGAGGGTGGGGGCGGCGCAGGCACTTAGGCACAACACAGACAAAGGTGGGGGGTTGGTGCCTGGGGAAGAGTCTACTAGCTCTTTCTAAAGTCACCATTACCAACGAGATTCTGTGAGATTTCAAAGTGGGTCTGGCATACTGAGTTGGAGGAGCTTTCTTAGGTGAGCTACCATTCCAGAAGCCCTGCCTAGAACCCAGTCAGCCTGGCTATCAAGTCTTTCTCCCAAAGTCCCCTGACTGAGTCCCTGGCAAGGCAGTACTTCACTCTGCACCCTGCAGGGGCTCCTTCTCTGGGCCCCCATGCTGCTAGAAGCCTTGTAGGCGGAATGGTGAAGAGAGATGGGGACGGCTATGAAGCAGAGGATCAAGCAGAGTCCTGTCGATGAGAGTGCTCCTCCCCCAAACACCCAGCCATAGACATCTGGAACAAAATCACCCTTTAAAGTGCACATCTCTCACAAGAAGGGTTCTGGGTGGGAACCCTCTTATTTCCAACCTTGGGGCCTCCTGCCCTTCCACCACAAAAAAGGAAAAAAACTTCTGACAGTTTAACTGCTACTATAAGCTGTGGATCATCATTTTTGGCTCTTTCTTTACTCCCTCCCTCTGCCATCTGCTCCCAAAGCCTGGACTTTCCTTTGCAGGAGCTAGGGATGGGGAGGAAAGGACAGGGAGGCCCTGATTTTGGAATGTTTCTTCTCCTGTGTGCACCCCCTTCCTTCCTTGCCCCAGGCCTGCTGCTCCCCATCACAACACCCTCTGGGGTTGTCCTGAAAGGACGCCATGGGAGTAATGAGCAACAGATCCTGCCTTGAGAGGCTGACTTCATGCCTCCCCTTTCCCCCAAATCTCACTGCCAAGTAAGCCATTCCCTGCTTGGCGTGTGCAAATCCTCTGCCTGCTCACGGCGGCGAGGCTCAGCTCTGGGGTAAAGCCCACAGTCCTGGTCTGGGAAAGTTTCATTTTCCTGCATTGGAACGCCCTTCAATGGACAGCTTTACCTCCTGTGGAATGAAAGAGGGACGGAGCAGTGCGGCCCGTGCCTCCTCCCCTTGCATGCTGTATCTTTGGAAGCTTGGGGCTGGCCAGCAGGCCTGAGCACCGGGCTCAGGCTGGGAAGGCTCTACCACATGGGAGCCCTCTCCTGCCAGCTGGCTCTTCCCCTCACTGTCACATAGCTCTCTGGGTCCCAAGACCGTCCTCTCAGGCCTTTCTCGGGGGGGACCCAGCTGGCCTGGGGGAGCGCAGCTGGCCTGAGAAACTGAGTTACTGTTCAAGCTCTGTAAACTGATAGAGATGCAGACATCTCCCACCTGTAGCCGATGGCAGGGCAGAGAGAAGAGCTGTGTCGTCCGCCCAGGGTTGCAGGAGGACCAACCCTGGCCATATACAAAGAAGGGGTGCTCAGGGGGCACCTCGATGCTCACTTTGCTCTGCTGTTCACCAACCACAAAATGCAGCATGACAAATCCAGGCCATTGGCTCTCCTGAATGTCCACGACCGTGCTAGAGTCGATCTTCAGCCCCCCGCTCACTTCGGCACTGCGCACAAAATCCTGGGTCTGGAGGTCCTCCACCCGCTTCAGCTCTCCCGTAGCCAGCTGGATGATGGCGCCTTTCATGAAATGGGAAGGCAAGTGGGAGGAGGTAATGGGGGGCGGTGTTGGCTCCTTGTCTGGGAAGGTGGCTCTGGCCTGCACGTCCAGACTTGATGCTACCAGGATCTCCGAGCCCACAGGCAGCAGGCCTGAGTCAGTTCCAGTGGGCACCAGGTTGCCATTGGCTACAACCATTGCTTTGGGTAAAGGTCTATGTTTTACTGGTTCCTGATGGGACTGAGGGTAGAACCCACGGACCTGATTTTTCTCTGCCAGCTCTGCAGTGTTCCTGGCTGACCCCTGTCCCTCACCCTGATGGTCGGGGGTATGATGGGATAGGTTGAGGGGGCTGTGTTCCTCCTTCCTCTGAGCTGCCACCACACGATAGTCCTGAGAAGCTAAAGCGCCAACCACCCGCTGGACCTCGAGGTCAGTGTCCGGAGTCCCTCGGTGTGCCAGGGCCGCTACCTCCACCCGTGGAGTCTGAGAACCTGAAAACAACTGTCCATCCACCACACATTCTACCACGGGCACCAGTCCCTGGCCTTCACCCTTGCTGTTGGGGGAGTCAAGGGCTTCGCTTTCCCGTCTTACGATATTTCGCTCTCGCTGTCTCTGTCCTCCATTTGCAGCAGCTGCTTCCAGAGCAGACTGGCTCTCCTGAGGGGTAAGAACTGGGCTGGCACCTGCTGGAGGGGTTTCATGCAAAGTATACCCAGCAGGTAACCTGGACATCTGATAATAAATGGGCATCCGGCCTGGAGCGAGGTCCAGGGGCTGAGTACTTGAATGATGCGGCAATTGCCCAGGTGGGGAGGTGGCAGGCGGGGCTTTGTTAAATGAGTGGGCCGGGGAGGGAGCCTGCGGCGGAGGAGTGGCTCCTTCTGCCAGAAGTGAGGCATATGGCACAAAGTGTGGAAGGTGAGAGGTGGCAAGGTTGGCAGAAGGAGATAGGAGGGGACTTGGTAGGAAATTAGGTGGCACAGCATAGGGAAGGCTATAAGGAGACCCAATGAACTGCAGCGAAGTGGATGGGAGCTGAGCATAGTGGATTGGGGGATAGTGGATGCCTGGATGTTGAATCAGTGAAGACGCTACATTAAACGTGGGGGGCAAGGGGCTCATATTCACCACAGATGGGAGGCCAGTTGGTGAGAAGGTGGCAGGTGGCACAGCCACCTTATACAGCATGCCATACTGGTCCACTGTCAGACCGGTGATAGCCTCAGCTCCATCACCCCCCAGGCTGACTCTAGCTCCTGCCTGGCTCTGCCCGGCCACCACAACCCCTCGGGACCAATCAGAGGCATCACTGGAGGGTGTGTGGTTAGTGGAGCAGCTGGTAGTTCTCCCCATATTCTCGCTGGTCACGGGGAGGTCTCGTTTCTTTGGTGGAAGGCATTCCTGACTCCTCTCATGAACAGGTTTCATATTGCTTTGTGGTGTTCCTGGAGCCTGGAAGGAGTCGGCTTGCTCCCTGGGGCATCAGAAGGGGCTTCGCTGTGGCTTCCCTGTACCCCTCTCTGCTTCTGGCTGGGGTGCCCACATCTGCTAGGGAACAAATCAGAGGCAAAGAAAAGTAACCTAGGGATGAGCCAAGACAAAGGAAATAGGAGGAATTGTGCCATGGAGAAAGATGTAACAAAAGGGATTGTTAGAAAAAAGGAAGTAAAAGAAGGGGGCAGACAAGGAGACTTCCCCCAACTCATCCAGACTGGAACATGAGAGAAACAATGGGGGAAACCACAAGGCACCAAGAGCTACAAGGATGACTATTCACCAATGCGCAAATAACCTGTGGGCTCCCCAAGCCCAGAGAGACCAACAGCTTCACGGTTAGTCATGTGTCTCATGAGCATCTTGAGTCTTTTCAGCCTTCTTCCCAAAGGGGGCTCTGAACACCAAGTCTTTCCTGCTGGTTTTTTTTCCTTTTATTTTTAAGATGGAGTTTTGCTCTTGTCGCCCAGGCTGGAGTGCAGCAGCGCAATCTTCAGCTCACCAGAACCTCTGCCAGCTGGGTTCAAGCAATTCTCCTGCCTCAGCCTCCTGAGTAACTGGAATGGAACTACAGGCACGCACCACCACGCCCAGCTAACTTTGTAATTTTAGTAGAGATGGGGTTTTACTATGTTGGCCAGGCTAGACTCGAACTCCTGACCTAGGGTGGTCCGTCCGCCTCAGGCTCCCAAAGTGCTGGGACTACAGGCATAAGACATCATGCCCAGCCTCCTGCTGGCTCTTTTCTTTAAGTTTCTCCTTTTGTATCAAATATGAATGTGCCACCTTCTTTCCTGAACATATGACCTCATCCTTGCTTCCTTACTGTAGCCTAATTTGGGTTATGATCTCACCTACTACCATCCCAAGCCTGGCTAAAAAAACTCTCTTCCACCTTTGCCTTGTATCATCAGTATCTCAAGGACCTAGGTGTCAAATTCTCAGGTCTGCTTGTGTCTTTTACTTTTTTGTAAACTTTGCTCCCTAACCAGGTTATGAAAATAAACATTTTTGTCCCATGAAATACTACACTTTAACTCAGATTCTATACAGCGAGAGTGAGTAAACTAGTTTGCTGTCAACTTGTTTCTCCTCCCCACAAAAGAAAAACAATATTCTTCTGACCTTCTGTAGACTTCCAGTTCCCTAGTCTCAAAAGGCTTCTTTTTTTTTTTTTT